TGAGGGGGCTTCGCGGGCCCGGGCGGGAGGCGGCGCGGGGAGGCCTGCGCGCCCGTCCTCCGGGTCCGGTCACCGCCATCGCCTGCGGCCGCACCATGGCCCTGAAGGCCGAGGGCGCCGCGCTCGACTGCTTCGAGGTGACGCTCAAGTGTGAGGAAGGGGAGGACGAGGAGGAGGCCATGGTGGTGGCGGTCATCCCGCGGCCCGAGCCGATGCTCAGAGGTAAGGATGGGAGGGGACCCCGCTCCCGCGTCACCGTCCGCGCCTCGCTCTGCCCCTCCCCGGCTGGGCCCGGGCACCCCAGCCAGTCGGGGGCCCCGGCGTCCCCTCCCCCCCGGCCTGGGGCCTGGGCGCGCTCTGGCCCCTCCCCCACCAGGCTTTGGAATCTCAGGCCTTCCCGAATTCCGCCTCCCTTCCTCTCCCTCCCAGGGTCTGGAGACTTCCATCCACGCCCCGCGCGCTCCGGAGCTTCCGGTGCCCGAGCGCCCCCTCGCCCGGGCCCAGCCTGGGAGGCCGAATCCCCAGAGGCGCTGGGTGCCTGCGGCCGCTGGGGAAGCGACAGCAAGCACAGGGGCGGGCTGCGCTGTAGGCCGAGGGGCTGCGGGGCCTCTAGGCCCAAGGCGGGGCGCAGCAGCTGGGTGTCCGGAGCGACTCAGAGAACGGAGTCAGGCGCCGCTGCCGCGCTCCAAGAGGAGAATTCTAAGGGCCCTCCGAGCATAAAGCTTTCCCCGTCCCCATTCCAAGTGAAATCCCCATCCCCCACTCCACTTGCATAAGCCACAGGTGTCCGATCCTAGAGAGGGGTGATGAATGGGACTGCACTCAACCCCCAGTTTGGGGAAGGCAGTTCCAGGGGGTCCTCAGCCACCCTAGAAGGAGATCAGCTTTGGGAGGGGATTCGAGGAACACTCTGGGAACACTCGCTCTCCCTTCGCCCTTCACCAATTTCTTTGGTCCTCAGGAGCTTGCAAACTGTAAGAAAACAAAAGAGCCGTCTTTGTGGAAGACTTAATATTCATGAAAATGCAAATGTTTTTTTCACTTTCCAATACCTCTTTCCCTTTGGGGGACTGTACCCAGAAGAGGTTGATGCAAGGCCCTTCATTGAACCTTAGCTAATTATAATGTCTGTCTGCACTATCTCTTGTCCTTTTTGGAATCAGAAGGGTTATAAAATGAATGAAGGAAATAAAGGCTGCCTCACTTCTCAGGGTGTTCAATCCAACAGCCAGGTTATTTCCATACTTCTAATATTTATTGAGTTCTGGCTGGGCTATTGTCAAAGGCTGTCACAGTTAATCCTTTCAGCAACTCTGCAAGGGCGGCCTTATCCCCACATGAGGCAGGAAATGGAAGCCCAGAGAGGCTAATATTCACCCAGTATTTACTGGGCACCTACTCTACGCCAGGCACTGTTTTAGGCTGGGGATGGTAACGGCAGTAAACAAAGCAGACAAAACCCTGCCCCTGTGGAACATAGATATTCTAATGGCTGAAGACAGACAAACAGGTAAATAAATGTATAGTATGTCACAGAACACTAAAGAAGGATAAGGAAAAGAGATGGGGGTATTTTATTTGGTGTACCGAGTGGTCAGCAAAGGCTTCTCTAATAAGGTGAATTTTGAGCACAGACCTGCAGGAAGTGAGGGAGCCAGCCTTGTAGGCAGCTTGAGGAAGAGCATTTCAGGCAGAGAGAATAGCAGGTGTCAAGGTCCTGCAGTACAAGCTTCTGGAAATATTTGGGGTGTGAGAGAAAGAGAGGATGGATTCAAGGTTTTTGGCCTGAGTAACTAGAAGGATGGACTTCTAGTTGGGATGGGAGAGGCCGGGCTGCAGGCTTGTGGGAGATTGGGAGTTGAGGTTTGAGTATGGTAAGTTTGGGTTACCTGTTACACATTCAGCTAGGTGCTTAGGTACACGAGTCTAGATTTCATGGGAGAGTCCAGCTAGAGCTAGAAATATGGGCATTGGCGGCAAGCAGGCAACAGGATGAGACTCGTCCGAAGAAGGAGGTTGACAGAGAAGAGATCTGAGGACAGTCCTGGAATGCCCCATGGATTACAGGTTGGAGACTGAGTCAGTCCCTCATCAAACATTACTGAATGCCACTACATGCCTGGCACAGGTGCTGGAGATAGAAGCGTGAAACATCAAACATCCATGCTGTCGTTGAGCCTGCTGTGTGGCGGGAGACACAGTGAACAAGGGAAACACAAGTGATGTCAGGTGATGACATGTGCTGTGGAGATGTCACAGCAATTGGGAGTGGGGTGCTCCAGTGGGGGTAGATGGCAGCTTCCTACATCATGGTGAGAAGATGATTCTTCAGCACCGACCTGGAGGAAGTGAGGGAGCCATGCAAGTACCTGAGAAGAGATGAGGAGGGACCGGCACAGGTGACTGAGAAAGCACCAATGACACTGACATGAGAAGAGCCAAAGAGAGGTGGCACCCCAGATGCCTAGTGAGAAAAATGGATGGAGAAAGTGATCGGCAGATGGTGACATTAAAGAGCTGACTGCGGGGTTTAGCACTGGTGACCTGGATGAGAGCTGTCTGGAGGAGTGGTGGGAGGAAAGCCCTTTGCAACTGAGAGGTCAGGATTCCTGTCCACGGTCCCATGGGAGATGGGTACAGCCCAGTTTATCCAAGCCAAGGCTCCTATCCTTGTCAAATGCCACCTCTTCTGTACAGCCGCCAGGTGTTAGGGCCTCCCGTATTTGTATTTTGTCCCCTCCTCTCCAGATGGTGGGAGAGAGGTGCCACCATGATGGGTCAGAGGTACTTAGCAGCCATCAGGTGGAGCTGAGTCCAAGGCTGCCTTTGCTGGGCTGAAAGGGGTTCCTGCCCTATCAGAACAGGGACCGTGTGCACAAAGAGCAGGTGGCAGACAGACCAATTGGGGCAAGGCCAGTGCTCTGGGAGCTCTGCAGGTGGATGCTTCTGAGGGTGTGGGGTGGCCTTTTAAAGGGGCCTCAACAGGTGAAGGAACAGGCAAGTATGTCAGTCATCGACTGGAAGCTTGAGCATCCCTGCTGTGGGGACAGTATGATGGTAACATTTACTGTCCTTGACCTCAAGAAAATGTGCACTATTGTGATGTCAGGTACAGTCAACTGTCAGGGGTTGGAGGTCTGGAGGCATCTCAGGCATGACATCACCCAGGCTGATCGGGGTGGTCTGGACAGATGTGCAGAGGCTGAAGACCTGCAAGAATGGAGGCTGTCGGGAAAGCTTATGTAGTCCTGAGGGCCGAGACTAGATTGGGAGAAGGTGCAGAGGCGAGGGTAGCAGGACACCAGGCAATAGGCTTGTTCATTGTGGCTCGTGCCTCTCGGGCTCCGGGGGAAGGGGGTAGACAACTGTGAGCAGGCATGCTCTCCTGCTCCGCCCCACACAAACCATCCAGTTTGGGGACTCAGGTTCTAAGTATTGGCCACAGGCACCTTTACTGACAACATCCTCTCTGTTCCCTCAGTGACCCAACAGGAGAAGACCCCTCCACCGAGACCCAGCCCTCTGGAGGCAGGCAGTGACAGCTGTGAGGAGCCCAAGCAGCAAGTGTCTTGGGAGCAAGAGTTCCTGGTGGGGAACAGCCCTGGGGGCAGCGGGCGGGCGCTGTGCATGGTGTGCGGTGCCGAGATCCGGTCCCCCTCTGCCGACACGGCGCGTGCGCACATCCTGGAACAACATCCCCACACCCTGGACCTGAGCCCCTCCGAGAAGAGCAACATCCTGGAGGCCTGGAGTGAAGGGGTGGCGCTCTTGGAAGACGTTGGATCTGAGCAGCTGTCCCCACCCAGCTCAGGTAGTAGGGCCTGGGGTGGGAGCAGAGGGAAAAGTGGGGCCTTTTGGAACACTTGGCGCTCATTGGGCTTTTGTCCTTTTCAGACTCAGTCCGGGAGGTGGATCCAGACGCTGCTAGAATGCCAGCGGAGATCGTCGTTCTCCTTGACTCTGAGGACAACCCATCCCTCCCTAAAAGGACCCGGCCCAGGGGACTCCGCCCCCTCGACCTTCCTGGTCAGTCAGTGGGAAGCAAGTGAGGCTCAGTGGGGGGCATGGGTAGGTGGAAAAAGGCTGCTGGGTAGGTGTCTTCAGGAGCCGTGGGGGTGCAGGGTCAGGCATGGCTTCTCTAAAAGGTGTAAGGTCTTTTCCTTTTGCAGCTGCCCCTGCCACAGAGCCAGGAAATAAGAAGCCTCGTGGTCAGAGATGGAAGGAGCCCCCTGGAGAAGAGCCAGCCAGAAAGAAAAGAGGCAGACGTATGACCAAAAACCTGGACCCCGACCCAGGTGAAGGGGAGGCCCGGGATGGGTGGGTGTAGGTTGTGGCTACAGCACCTGGAGAGGAGGAGAGGACAGGGTGAAGCCCAGGCAGAGGGCACCCGCCTCCTTCACTCACAGTTCTATCCTGTTCTTCCTTCCAGACCCCCCATCACCCGACTCGCCCACAGAGGAGACTTTTGCAGCACCAGCCGAGGTCCGACACTTCACTGACGGCAGCTTCCCCGCTGGCTTTGTCCTGCAGCTCTTCTCCCACACCCAGCTCAGGGCCTCAGATGGAAAGGACTTGCTCAAAGAGGGCAGAGTGGCAGAAGGAGGCCTTGCCCAGCCGGGAAGCCCCTCTCCAGGTGAGCTCTCCTGAGGGGGGTGGAGCAGCCGGGGTAGAGGTGATTGGTGCCCAGGTCCCCTGGGAGATGGGGCCACGGGCAGGAAAATTTGAGTGATGAGGGAGGCTGGCCAGAGAGCTGAGCTTTTCTGAGCAGTCCTTAGGAGTTTCCTGGAATTGGTCATTAGGTTGGGCTAGGCTAGTGTTCCCCGAAAGCGTGACACTGTTCTCCACACCTGAGGCTGGTTGCAGCTGGAACTGGAGGGCTAGCTCCTTGCCCTGGCGGAGCAGGGGCCAGTGGAGCCACTCAGCAATTCGGCTGGGTGTCAAGAGAGCAGACGGCTGATGAACAGTGAACAGAAATCTCCCTGAGGACACCAGCTCAGTAATAACACTAGTAATAGCAGTAGTGCTTGTGTTTTAAGCGATGTTATAGGTGGTTCTTTTGGTTCTTACAAAAATGTCTTGTAGTGAAAGGGCAGATGTCCATTGTGTTTTCCAGATGGAGAAACTGAGTCTCAGAGAGGTGGCTTCTTCTTCCCTGTGGTCCTTATGTTAGTTTCCTATTTGCTGCTGTAACAGATTACCAGAAATTTAGTGGCATAAAATAACACACATTTGTCATTTTACAATTCTGGAGGTCAGGGGTCCAAAATGGTTCTCACCGAGCTAAAATCAAGGTGTTGGCAGGGATGTGTTCCTTTCTGGAAACTTGTGGGGAAAACCTATTTTCTCTTCTTGCCCAGCTTCTAGAGGCCACCCACGGCTCTTGGCTTGTGGCCTCCATCTGTCTTCAAAGCCAGCAGTGGCCAGTAGAGTCTTTCTGGGGTGCCGACTGTGGTTCTGACCCTTCTCCCTCCCTCTTCCCCACGTAAGGACCCTTGTGGTTAGATTGCATTTGCTCAGACAATCCAGGATAATCTCTGTATTTTTTAGTCAGCTGATTAGTAACCTTAGTTCCATCTGCAGCCTTAATTCCCTCTTGCCATGTAATAAAACATATTCGTAGATTCTGGGGTTTAGGACATGGACATCTTTGGGGGTCCTCATTCTGCCAACCATGGTCCCATAACCAGGCACGGCGGAATTAAGATGAGACTAGAATGTGTTCCAGGAGGGCCGAGGCCAAGCCTGGTTGCTCTCTCCACCTCCCCACGCCCAGATGGCTCTCAGCGTCTCGCACTCTGGATGTGCTTCTTGAAGGAGTGAATGGGTCAGGAGCGCCCATCTCCTTGTCCCAGCTTGTCCAAAATGTGCATCTGGAGTCAGAGCCCAAAGGAAGAGGGCTAAGGAGGCCCCCAAAGTAGGGCTCTCAGAAAGGAGGTGCGCTTTTTGCTTTTTTCTTTTGAAAGCAGACATGTTTCTTACCCCTCCAGACCTGCCTTCCTCACCAGTGGTAACCACTCCTAGTAGTCTGGTTCCTATCCTTCAGACCTTGCTCAAAGCTCTGTGTGTGTGCACGCGTGCTTTTATTTGTTTATCTACCCAGATGGGCTCCCCTTTTTCTAATCTCAAGTCAGGCCTCACGCCTTCGCGCAGATCATGGTTTATTTATTTATTTTTTTTTCCTTTTTGTCTTTTTTCGTGACCGGTAAGGGGATCGCAACCCTCGGTGTCGTGCCCACACTGCGCTCAACCAGTGAGCATCGGACCGGTCTCTATATGGGATCCGAACCCTCGGTCGGAGGGCCGCCGCGCTCCCAAGCGCCGCACTCTACCGAGTGCGCCACCAGGCCGGCCCCAGATCATGGTTTTAACTGTCTCAAGTTTCAGCTTGAGGGCCGGCCCGGTGGTGCAGTGCTATAGTGCGCCGCTTGGGAAGCGCGGCGGCGCTCCCGCCGAGGGTTCAGATCCCACGTGCAGACCGGCGGCTCACTGGCTGAGCGAGGAGCGGGGGCAACACCGAGGGTTGCGATCCCGTTGCCAGTCCCAGTCCGGTACGGGCGCGACACTGAGGGTTTCGATCTGTTGCCGGTCACGAAAAAAGACAAAAAGGAAAAAAAAAAAAAGTTTCAGCTTGAGTCACATTCCAGTCCAGCCTCCCCGGGACCGTGGGTTCCACTTGGACTTGGGCAATTTCCAGGTCGTCTGATTCTCTTCGATGGAACCCT